AAGTGGAGAAGCCCATTAAGTAAATAAAAATTCCTTATAAAAGACTGTTATAGATTAGATAAAATTTGTGCCATGTAACTTTTGTCTTTTTATTTTTTGGTTTTCTTCCTCTTACCCAAATATTGGTAAAAATGAATTGATAACTTCCTGAATATTAAAAATGCTCAGTAAGAAATAAGATAAAAGATATTAAAATGTCAAATACTTTCATTCCTGCATTTGGTGTATTCAGAGTTTCTGCTAGCGCTATTGGTTTTCTTTGTAAGGAATATATATTTATAATTACTGTAGGAGGATTGTCATAATCAAGCTTTAAGTTGTGTATTGTGTCTTTCCTATGAACTGCGTAGCTCATGACCAAATTTTTGTATTAAACGGATAGATCAACTAACTTTTGTTTGCACTGCCACAAAAAAAATTGTAATAAGATATCTCTTTACTCTTTCTCTCAATCTATTTACTACTAAAATTCTTCTGTCCGCTTGTAACTTTTAATTTGGATAAAGCAGTGCATCATTGTTGTTGTTAGTTGCGAAGTCGTGTCCGACCCATTACGACCCCATGGACAACGTTCCTCCAGGCCTTCCTGTCCTCTACTATCTTCTGGAGTCCATTTAAGCTCATGCCTACTGCTTCAGTGACTCCATCCAGCCACCTCATTCTCTGTCGTCCCCTTCTTCTATTGCCCTCAATCTTTCCCAGAGTGCATCATAGGGCAACGATTTTTGAATCAACATACCTCAAAGGGACTAATATATAAAAAAAATTCAAATTCTGGAATCCATTACTCCTGTGGGATTGAAATTTGACAAAGTTGTGGCCGTTTCAGCACTGCCACACTGCTGCGGTCAGCCATAATCATGTGATCGTCATTCCAATGCTCTCTGCCAGCTTCCCAAAAGGAAAGTTGATAGGGAAGCCAATAGGAAGTCAGAAGTAACTTCTGCTCGCACTGTTTTTTTGCTCACCCATGGTCATTCTGTTTCTCTGTTTAGTTTAGGAAAGCTAACTTAGTTTAATAATGATAACTTGGAATAGAACTCAGGACTATGAAGTTCCTGAGATAAGGGAGTGTAACATGCTATGAACCTCTGAGGGTTGATCACGGTACATGGACTAACTTAAAACTATGTCTGTATCGATTTAATGCATAAATGCTTTTTGGCTTTCTGCAATCATACTAATTTCTTTACAGGTATTTAAAGCGTTTCAAACTCATGAAGCCAAAGGTGTTAAGGAGCTGGTGCCGACAGATTTTAAAAGGGCTACATTTTCTGCACACAAGGACTCCTCCTATCATCCATCGTGATTTGAAATGTGACAACATCTTCATCACAGGACCTACTGGTTCAGTGAAGATAGGGGACTTGGGACTTGCCACCTTAATGCGCACCTCATTTGCAAAGAGTGTTATTGGTGAATATACAGTAAATGTGTTTGGTATTTCTATTGGACAGCTGCTTGTGCCATGTCTCTTTGTCATCTATAAAGACAGGAATCTGCAATGCCCTATAAGGCAAAGTTGCTTTACAATATATAGCTATGAAAATATTCCAAAATTAAAATAGATGTCAAAAGATAAAAAAAAAGACATCAAGCAGCAGGAAATATTAGTGATAGTGCCTTTAACCTGCAGTCACAACATAAAGTATATAAAGAGCTTTTTCAAAGAGACATATTATTACCATGCATAAATAGGCATGGAACTTTCTGGGTCTCATTATAGAGAACACCATATCCATTAGTCATGCTTCAGACAGTGGGTAGAAGTGGAACAGAATGTTTTGTATTAGTCTGATGAATTAGGCAGATGTTAAATTCAGATGTTAAATGTAAAACATTTCTCCCCACCTTGAAAGGTTTTAGCCAAACAGAATGCAAAAATCTTGCAAGGGGTCTTGGCAGCATTTCTCTCTGCCTCCCCCCATGTCTAATACAGTAGATTAGCATAGTGTAACCACTAGACACACTCAGCCTTAATTGGACTGTTTGGATTTTTTCCTCGTATTTTTCTTTAAAACAAGAAAAAAAAATCCTGCTTCAGCAAGTGCTACTTCCTGTTTGCTTGTAGGTAAGAATCCATGCTTGGGGAATGAATTCATTATTAATATATTGAATATTACAAGGTAGAAATAAGCATCTCTTGGGAAATATTCATTGAGTGACCACAATCTAAAGTGGCTGTAATAACACATTGGTCTTTCTCATCTTTTATTTCAGGAACTCCTGAATTCATGGCTCCTGAGATGTATGAAGAACATTATGATGAGTCGGTGGATGTCTATGCTTTTGGAATGTGCATGTTAGAGATGGCAACTTCTGAATATCCATATTCTGAATGTCAGAATGCAGCTCAGATCTACAGAAAAGTAACCAGTGTAGGTGCACAATTAATTTCTTCAAGAGGGCAAACCTGTATAAGATGGGCCTAAAGCAAATAAGCCTATTGGGCTAAACCTATGTTGGTCCTTTTGCTATGCAAAGCAATTACCAGACTTATTCTAGTATTTTCCAGATTTTCCTAGATTTTGCTGTTTGTTCTAGAATAGATAATCTTTTCAGTTGTTTCACTCCCTGAAAAAATACAAATTGCTATTTCGTACTCAAATGGCAGAAAGTACAAGTTAAGCTTGTATTTTTTTAATGGCTGTCCTAAGCCAAAATTAAATGGAACAGAAACAAACCACATTTCTAGCCAGCTTTTGTCTGTGCATCAATCATTGTTGCTCCCTGTTCTGAAAGTTTACCGACTGCCTTCCTAAAGTCACTATTGAATCATCAACTAACCCAACAGTCTTCTGCTTGTTCTTCTGGCAGCTAGTACAGATTCTTTCATAAAAAGATCTTGAGTAAGGGCTTTGTTTCAGGCTTCATAGTGTTTTCTTCTCTGACTATTGTGTACATCTTATTCTGCTGGTATAGTAATCAAAACGTACAAAATAGAGTTATGAAGCTGGACAAAGCAGTTATTATAAAAATCAATAGGATCCTGCCTATTTTTGCTGATGTTCTTCCATGTTGGTTTTATTTATCACATCTTGTTATGAAATTTCCCAGTTGGCTTTCTAAAGGAAACACTTTCAGAAAAATTCTATTAACAAACACTGCCTTGTGCACTCTGCTGAGACACTCTCCTATACAGGTTGCATTGTCCTGTGTTCTGCAATAATTTTATTTCAAAATGTGACCTACAAAAAAAAAAAAACTTCCTCGTAGATTGTATCCCATAGGCTAAAATACTTTTTTCCTATCTGTGCCGCTGGTAATGACATCCAGAATTCCTTTGAAACAGATGTCTTGCTTTATTTCAGGATAGGGCTACTATTATCCTGTCTAATTGTATACTGTATGTTAAATATTCAAAATACAGATTACTGAAGTTTGCTATCCATAACACTCCTTTAGTCTTTAGTAAGTATATTTTTTATGTGAGAAATATATATGTAACTATTTCCAAAAAGAGATGATCCTATTATACTAGGGGTCCCTAACTGCCAAGCCCTGGACCGGTACAGCGGGTGAGCAAGCAAAGCTTTATTTGCACATGTGCGGGATCTAAGTTGCATGCAAAACCATCCCATCCCAGTCTTCAGTTTTCATTCCAAAACTGGTCCCCAGTGCCAGAAAGTTTGGGGACCGCTGTATTATATCATTACACTGGAATAACTACTCATTAGTACAATAGCCATTTTTTTTACATTTTCAATATTTGAAAGGCAAAGACAATGTATTCTCAAATTATAATGCATATTTATCTGCTCTGAAAGGGCCATATGTGCACACATATCCCCCATTCCCATGCAGAGTTAAATACAGTTTTAAAAACCAAATGTATGAGGAGAATTTTTCAGAAGGAATTAGTAAAAGCCATCATCTTAGAAAATAAGGAAATCGTTTTTACAAAGATTCCTCTTCTAAAAAATTCAGAGCACTGCATATTTTAATAATGTTTACAAAAACATCAATGTGTTTCTTTTCCCATCTTCAGGATTGAGGCTAAGAGGGAGGGATTTGCTTCCAAACACCTAATTGAATTTCAAGCTAGAATAATTACTGTATTACTTAATTATTATTATTATTTTTGGTCCCTTTCTTTCTCCAATGAGTACAGTAAAGATATGGTGATTGCCTGAGAGTCAGCTAGCATGTACTTCTAAATTTAATGACAGGGGAGAACAAGTTTGTCAAATAAATAGCATTTATTTGATCCTTTTTATTTGATCCTTTTCAATCAGATCTGATTTTAGAAGCAATAGCTGGCATTTAAAGGATTCAGGACAGACTGAAATGTTTTGTTTTAATATATATGTGTGATAGCTAAAACTATTTCTACTACATTGGCTGTTTAAAGGCCTTCTATTTGTAACCTTGGGAATTTTCCATAATTCTGTACAACTGTAGAAGAGAAATCTCCTGTGTAATTTTATTAACAACTATGTCCCTTCTCTTCTAGGGCATTAAACCTGCTAGTTTTAATAAAGTGACAGACCCAGAAGTAAAAGAGATCATTGAAGGCTGCATTCAGCAGAATAAGTCTGAAAGGTGGGCAGATCCATTTTGTGTCTCTCCTTACTTGCTTTGAATTGTGCAAATTAAGAGATAGTATTTGAGTGTTAATAGCAATTTGTTGGTACTGGAAAAAAATGATTAAGCAAAACACTCATGCTTTAAACACCTGCGTAAGTCCCTTTGAAGTCAAAAGGAATGAAGCTCATGAAGCCATATAGCAAATGGGATTTGCCTGGCTCATTTCCTAAAACTATGGCTGTTAAGACATATATAGGGAAAGTATTGCAGAAATAAAGAATCAGTCAAAATGAAAATTCTTGATTTTGTCTAGTTTTTATATAGTGAAAAATGGTGGGATTCTGCAATCCTCAAATTAATGCAAAAAGGACTAAGGTTAGAAGATGAGATATTATGTTGGAGTTTAAAGAAAATCTCCATTTATCTTTTCCCTGTAGCACAGAAAAATGCAATGCCTACTTGAATCACTGCAAAGGACTGTTACATTGGAGACCTGTTGCTTTAATTTATAAAGCCTTAGTAATAGAGAAGGAGATGCATGAAACATTAGTCTATTTCTCCTCCCCCTCAGTAACTTGATCTCACTTCTCATGCCTCTCCCTAGCCTCACTTATGATCAATAGCTCTCTTCCAACTTGGTCAGATGATGGCACATTTATAGAAAGATGCTGTATCAGTTTGAAAGCAGCCCCAAATGTCTATGGTCCCACAGTATTCACTGTCTTTGGAAGCTAAGACAGTACTTCGCTTTCAAAGTACTTCTGGCTCAGCTTCAGTATATCTAAAGCTGCAATGAAATCTTATCTTTAAAAAAACAAACAAACAAAACCTGTGTGGAATTATGTGTTTCCCCTTTTGCAGGAATTTCTGCTTCGCCATCCATCCTGGGCTTCAAAGCTTTAAGGGGGTTGATATCTTAATGGCTTTTCAGGTCCTTCTCAAAAAAAAAGCGAATATTTGATCAGAAATTCACACGTCATAGAATAATGGATGGGTGAAGGAGGAGAATGGATGGAGGACTATTTCTCCACTATTATTCGTCCACAGAGTGCCACCTGGCAGTCCTGTTTAAGCTCACCTGGTCCCTCCTAAGGAAGAAGGGCTTGGATGAACATTTACAGGGCTGTGTGGCAGAATTTGTTGAGCACCTGATGCATAAAATCAATTCCTTCTCAGTTGGAGCAAGTCCATTAGAGATGCTCAGGGAACAGACTTATCCGGTTATCTGGGAGCAGTTTGACCTTGTTGGACTTGAGGAAGTGGACAGAGTCCTTGAGGCTGTTAGTGCAATTACTTGTTTATTAGATCCTTACCTAACCTGGTTGGTAAAAGCTTTCAGAAGTGTGACTTGCAAGTGGATCCAGGCAAGGAGGTGTTCCCGGTACTATTTAAGGATACCTTGATCTGTCCCCACCTTGAGAAACCTTCACTGGATCCCACTTGTTTGGACAATTTCCATCCATTTTCCCTTGTCCCCTTTTTAGAGAAGCTGGTGGAAAAAGTGGTTGTGCTACAGCTTCAAAGGGTCCTGGATGAAACAAATTATCTGGGCCCTGTTCATTCAGGTTTCAGGCTTGATTATGGGACAGAGATGGCATGGGTCGCAGTAGTGGAGCAGAATGGGGCTACTGCATCCATCCTTGGTCTTCTCAGCAGCTTTCAATACCATCAACCATGGTATACTTTTGGGCCAGCTACAAGAACTGGGGCTGAGCAGCGCAGTATTACGCTGGTTCAGCTCCTTTCTTCAAGTTGGTTCCAAACAGTGTTGATAGGGAGTGAGAGGTCCAGTCCATGAGTGCTCCTTTGTAGTGTACTATAGGCCTTGGTGCTCTCTCCGCATCTTTTTAACATCTACATGAAACCCCTGGGTGAGATCATCCAATGCCATAGGGAGAGATATCATTAATATGCAGATGATATCCAACTTTATATCTCCATCTCTGGTGACCCAAGTTATGTATTGTGGCTGCCCCCTTGTAGTACCTGGAGGCTGTGGGGGTTTGGATGGGGGATAACAGGCTTCAACTGAACCTGTTAAAATGGAGTGGTTGTGGGTTCAAGGGTTCTTGGGATCTGGGGCATTACCATCTTTAGTTCTTGATGGGTTTGCTCTACCCCAGACAGACTGGTATACAATCTGGGGTTCTCTTAGATTTGTGACTCTTTCTCTATGAGTAAGTGACAGTTGAGCGTAGGAGAGCCTTTTGTAACTTTGTGTTATGTGCCAGTTGTGCCCTTTTCTGGATGGTGCCCTGTGTGCAGTCGTTCATGTCCTGATTATCTCTCAGTTGGATTACTGCAACACCCTCTACGTGGGCTACCCTTGAAGAGCATTCAGAAGCTACAGGTGGTATAGAGTAGAAGTGGCAATGGTATGATGGAAGTTCCTTCTGACTCCCAGAGCTGTGGGACAAAGGGGAAATCCCTAAGAATTGTGTGAAAGTACCCTTTTGTAAATGAGAGGCTCCCGAATAGCCTGTTCAAGCAGGAAAGACATGTGGCATTTGCATCCTTCCAGTGATGCTTTTCTGGATCCAAGTCTATTGCAAGTGGTGAAGAGAGCAAAGATCGTCTCAGATGCTCTCCTAAAGGAATTCATTTGACTTCATCTGACTCTTCCTTTGAGTAGATGGTGTTCTGATCTGGGTCCTGGATTTGTTTTATTTGTATTTAAATTATTGCTGGCTTTTAATTTCTTGTAAATCCTATCGGGGGAAGGATATTGGTTCCGAAAGATAAAGTATACATATATTAAACGATATAGGTACAGGTAGTCCTCGACTTACGACCACAATTAAGCCTGTTGCTAAGTGAGATGTTTGCTTGTCAGAAGGGGGCAAAAGGTGATTACCTGATCCTGGGCCACTGCAACCATCATAAATACGAGTCAGTTGGCAAGCGTCTGAATTTTGATCACGTGACCACAGGGCTGCTGCAATGTTCGCAAGTGTGAAAAAATGATTATAAGTCCCTTTTTTTCAGTGCCCTTGTAACTTTGAACAGTCACTAAATGAACTGTTGTAAGTCGTGGACTACCTGTATTATACCAGTTTTGGAATATCTCTAAGGGAAGAAGTATAATAATTTTGAAAAGAAATGCTCAGCAATTACAATAATACGTGTTTGGGATGCCGAAGGCACTTTCAGTCATCTTTCATACTGTTTTATGTTCAATATATTTCAGGCTATCCATCAAAGACCTCTTGAACCATGCTTTCTTTGCGGAAGACACGGGACTCAGAGTGGAACTGGCAGAGGAAGAGGAGGATGGGCTGCATCCCTCTTTGGCTTTGAGACTTTGGGTAGAAGATCCCAAGAAGCTGAAAGGGAAGCACAAAGACAATGAAGCAATAGAGTTCAGTTTCAATGTGGAAACAGATATCCCAGAGGAAGTGGCTTGTGAAATGGTGGGTGTTTTGGGTCACTGCTTTGCTTCTTTCTCTTTTGCCTTATAGTATACATCGTTTGCAGGGAAAGTATTTATAAATGTTACTCTCAAAATTGGAAAAATCTCCATTTTATAAAAGAGGTACAGTTAGAAAACTGTTCCTAACAACTGATGTAAAAGAGGAAAATGGAATTTGGATAAAAGTCATGGTGCTGGGGAAGGAAACCTTATCCTTAATAGCTTTCTTCTGCTGCTTGTCAAGACTGTTATTCTAGTTTAGCTGTAATTTTCTGTTTGCAAATGGGGGAAGCAGGAAACATCCCCATTTTACAGTCTGGAAGAATTATAAATAATTAAATTGATCCATTTTTATATTCCTTTTTTCTGCCTTTTGTTGCAGTTTTGTTTTATTATCTTTTAGCTTAGGGTTATAAGCAATCTTGTTAATTATTATGGGAGGTAGGTTATAAATTATGGATAAATGAATAAATTCATTTAGATTCACAAAGATTTATCATGCTGAGGCTGCTAATTGCATTGTAATATCTAAAATACAAGTACTGCACTCAATCTCCTATTTATTGATACTTTGAGCTTTATTTACAAGGCATGATTCTTCTAGGATACCTCATAAGCTAAGAAGGGCTACGGGGCAGGTGAAAACTATTTATTTTCTTGTTTTCATATATATATATTAAACAAGAAGATAGAAGCTAACAGAAACTTAGAAAGTAAGAAAGAAAAAAGGGAAATAAATAAAAGAAAATATAAAATGCAAGAAAAAAAATGAAGAAAAATAGAAAAGAAAGAAAGTAAAAATATAAGAAGTGGCTTCCGGTATTTGTTGTAGCAGTTATAAGTATAAAATATTTTGATCTCTCTCTCTCTCTAAGGTGACATCATACTACTCTTCTTTCTATAATCTATCCTGTTTAATCATCAAAACTATTATCATGTTCATTTTGTTCATTTTTACACAAAAAGTCCATAAGAAGCTTCCAATGAGTAATAAATGTAATAATGTATTTTCTCTAATCAAAGAAATTAATTTATTCATCAACTTCATTAACCATTTCTCCATAATAGGTAGCATTGAATCTTTTCATGACTGTGCAGATAGTAATCTCGGTACTGTGATCATATATTGTAACAGTTTTCCATGCCTTTTTTCTCAGTTTATCCATTAATCCTAAAAGAAAAAGGTTGAGCATTTCCAACATATGTTTGATGTCCTTTTATACCTTCTAGGGAATTTCTCTGGCATCTTGTATCAATGATACATCATTTTATAAAAATTCTCTTTGAGATCATAAAACAATGTAGATTTCAACCCTTTTAACTATATATTTTCCCATTGTTCCATCTGTATATTATAATCAAATTTCTTAAATCCTGGTACATCGGCAATTTATCTTCATCTGCCATTTCTTTTTTTAACCTTGTACCTTGTAAGTTTCACTTATAATCTTAACTCTCATAATTCCCTGATCTTATCTTATATCTCTGTTCAATACCTCAAGAGCTGAAATGAACAAAATTGGAGACAATGGACATCCTTATCTTGCCCTTTTTGAATCTCACAGTATTTTGTTAATGCCCATTAACAATTATTTGTGCTTTCTAGAAGTATAAATCGACCTTACTCATATAGTAAAATTATATCCAAGTTTCATATATTCCAGAACATTAAATCAAAAATCCACTTTAAGGCCTTCTCTGCATATCGATGCAGCTTGTTTTTTCATTATGTTGCTCCAAATATTCCTAAATATTCAAAGTGTTTCTAATATTATCTCGCACTTCTCTTTTAGGTAAAAAAAAATCTGTAAAATTATTCTCAACCTTTCAGCCAAAATCGTAGTAAACAGTTTATAATCATTATTCAGTAAATATATTGGTTGACGATTTCCTGTTAAACTCAAATCTTATCCCTTTCTCAGGAATCTTTCCATACTGCAAAATAATATTCATCGTTTGTTGTAAAATTTGTAAAAATTCATCTTCAAAACATTTATAATAAGAGGCAGCAGCCCATCTGGATCGGGTATCTTTCCTGTTTTAATCTTTGGGACACCTTCACATAGTTCCCTTATTGTTATAGGTCCATTCAAAGTTTGTCTCTGATCTCTTTCTTGAAACTTTATTTCTTTATTTCTTTCTTGAAACTTTAATATCACTTCCTTTTTCTTTTCGCAGCTTGTATGCCAACCATCTCCTCAGTTTATGTGGAAATTCAAAATTTATTTATTTTGCATAGTTCATCTTTATTTCCATCTCTCTTACTGTTAACATAGATGATTGCCTCTGCAAAAGCTTAATTTAATTAGTGACCATCCCTGGAGATTTTTTAAAATTTTCACCCATTTTTGTCTCATCCAGGATCATTTGCATTTTCTCTTGCCTTTCCTTTTAAGTTTCTCTATTGCGTTGTAAAAAATAACTTCTTATAAAATTTACTTGCATCCCGGTCATCCTTCCTTCTCTACCTTTATTAAAATTATTCTCAAAACCTTCTACAGTCTTCCACCACTATTTCTTTTAGCAATAGCATTTCATTCAATCTCCACCTAGGAGACTGGTCTGGTTGTCCTCGGTGAATAAATATTTTCCTCATCAGCTAAGCTTTAGCCAAATCTTGATTACCATGTTTTGAGGTTAAAATAAGCAAGTTACTGTATTACTATGAACAGTCTCTACTTTCCTCCTTTTGTTTTGTTTCTTTTTATCATCCTGTGCCCAAGAAAAGAAAAATGTGTTTAGACTGTAGATTCTTCATTTTGCCTCACTGTTGCCTTGGTTTTGTTTTTATAAAACATTTGGCCACAGAGGAATCTGACAAATGACAGCTGATGTTACTGAAAGGAGACATGGCGATGCATCTGTTCATTTCATATAAAATATATGCTGGCAGAAGGCTACTGCTTAAGCATCACCTACCCACCAGCCCACTGTGAAGTTTTGTAAGTGGTCCCATGATCCCTTGCCTCATGAAATGGATCTTTAATGCATTTTTTGGATCCCTTTTCTGTTTTTCTTTTCTTTTTCTTTTTTGAGGGTAGATTGGGTTTACAGACCTTGCTCAGCAGATGGCAGTTAAGACTCTCTCCTTTAATAGTTCCATTTAGCACAAGAGCAGTGCTTGAATGCTTTCTTTATCTGTGTTTTCAAGCCATTGTGCCCTAGTTTGCATATAAAACAAACCTGTAAATAATGGATTTGCATTAAGCTAAGAATAAACAAATTAATAAGGTAAGAAATTGCAAATGTAGCATACCATTATGTAGGATCCCGGTCAGTATGTCCCAGAAGTGTTTTATGAATATTTCAAGTATGTGGGAAGTAATATTTGGCACATTGCAGATGTTTTTGTGATATGCTAGGGTTATTACACTTTTGTAGTAGTTGCAGAATTTATCTTGTTCCGTTTAATAAATTCTAAGCAGTTACAAACGAATGACTTATCTACTATAGGCAGTCCTCGACTTAGTGGCCACAATTGAGCCCAATATTTCTGTTGCTAGGTGAGGCAGTTGTTAAGTGAATTTTGCCCCATTTTACGACCTTTCTTGCCACAGTTGTTCAGTGAATCACTACAGTTGTTAAGTTAGTAACACAGTTTTTAAGTGAATCTGGTTTCCCCATTGACTTTGCTTGTCAGAAGGTTGCCAAAGGTGATCACATGACCCTGGGGCACTGCAACTGTCATAAATATGAGTCAGTTGCCAAGCTTCTGAATTTTGATCACTTGACCATGGAGTTGCTGCCATGGTTGTAAGTGTGAAAAACGGTCATAAGTCACTTTTTTCAGTGCCGTTATAATTTTGAATGGTCACTAAATGAACTGTTGTAAGTCAAGAACTACCCGTAATTGTTCTATTAAAACTGAACTTTAAAAAAGTAAACTTTTGGGGAATAAATATTTAGTGATGATGATGGAAAAAGAAGAAATTATCATAATATAATAGTAACCCATTTCCAGTAGTGAAAACCAGAAAGCAGTTTTCGCTACCAGATCAGCTCTTGCCTAAATCAGCAAATGCTAGACAAACAGGGCGAGAAACTGCAAAGTAACTGAGAGGTGAACAAAACTGGAAAATAAATTGTTACTACAAATCTAGACCATCAGAAAGGGGATTTCAAATGAATATGGTTCAAATTTTAAAACAGAAATTCCCTGAATGAATGACTGCATAAGAGGTGCTAAGGGATCAGCATCATGTGGCTACGAAAAGCAAGGTTTTCTCTGATACTGAGTTGAATGGATCAGAAACGATAACTGGGTGTTAACCGAACAAGCTGAAATTACAGATGCTGTGAATTCTGGACAACTAATAATAGCAAATGATGTTATGAAAACCATAATATAACTCTGAACTTGGGAAATAGAAATGTTGCAGCTCACCAATCAGCATATCAATTGGCTGAGAAGATAAAAAGTCAAATGAGTCATAAAGAATATTCCCAACATTAAAGCAAATAACTTTTTGCTTTCTTTGCAAAATCTTTGTTTTTCCTGCTTATTTGCCTAAAATTAACCCATATTTGTTTTACAAAAGTCTAGAAGCTGGCCAAGAAAAAAAATAAGAAGTACCAAATATAAAGAAAAAATAAATACATATTAGAAAATTTATGGAAAACAATACAGTAAAAGAGTGGTTTAAAAAGCACAATAGATTAACAGAATTGGAAAAGCATTTGTTGGGTAAGCAATGGAAAATGTACTGATATGAAAATAAATGGTTCAGATACAAATTAGAAAGATTGAAAACTAGAGTGCCTCCTACCCCCTCCCCAAAAGATAAACTACATGGTTTTTGGCTCAAAAGTCAAGTCTGGCAAGTCTATACACCAGGCTAGCACACAGCTGAATGATCTGCAAACAATAAAGAATGGATGACATCTGGAAGAAATTTCTTGTATAGAAAAACAAGGGGGACAGCCTCATCTTCTTGCCTGCTTACAGCACTCAAACTGTTTACTGAAATTATTTTAATATATGATCATTTGAAAGAAATTGTAATAGTTTCAGTGGAACACAAGGGGACTTTTTATCAATCATAATAAAAATACTTAGGGTTAATAGAACCTTCTGATTTATTGCATGACCAAGTTAAAAAAAAAGTTTAAATTTAAATTAAATCACTGAGCAGGGTAAGAGGCTCAGAAGCGACCCTCTCTAATTTTTCAGGCTGTATAGGAGAAGTTGGGGTGGAGAATAGTACTTTCATATCTTAAGATTGATATCAGCCTTGCAGAGTAAACCAAATAGAAATCACGACCAGATGAGCTAATTCTACTTTATCGTAAAGCTACATTGGCAGAATCTGGCAAGTCTGGAACAAGATCTACAAATCAATGCCATCAAAGATAAAATTGAGCATATTTCCAAAATACCAAATGCCAATTATTTAAAATTAAGAATAGTACTCTAGATTGTATCTTTAATTGTAACATCACTCAGAAGATAAAAATACCATGATAGGATTGCAAAAATTAGAAATTAAATTGGAATTTGAAGAGAAAATACAGGTTTACAGTTTGTAAATGCTACTACTGTATGACCATATGCCTGAAAATGTTTTGCAAAATAAAAACATTAAAATTGTGGAATTTCAAAGTCAAACTAATAGCCACTTAGAACATAAGATGCACCAGACTTTTTTTTCTGGCTTTGAGTCATTATTGATTCCTGCAAATTGTCTGGACAAGACCATAAATTTTTTTTTGCCAATATTTTTGGATTGCTTTCTTCCTTGTGCTGAGAGAGAGTAACTGGCCCAAAGTCATCCAGATGCTTTGGATCTAAGGAGGACTAGAACTCATACTTCTAGTTTCTAGCCTGGTGCCTTAAACCACTACACCAAAGCGACTCTCACACAAGATATTACTCTTATAGAAAACAGGTGTGGTTCATTGATGTGGCAATACTTGGAGGCAGTCAAATTGATGAAAAACAACTGGAGAAAATAACAAAAGATCATGATTTATTGATATTTTGAGATTGAAAATGGAAGAAAAAAATGTCGTAACAATTGTAATTGGAATCTTTAGTGCAACATTAAATGGGTTCACCAAATATTTAGTAATGTTAAACTTACTGAACTTGGTACCATTAATTTTTCTAGGGTATTTGCAACAACATACATTTTATGTTGATAGTTCTATGATTCTTAGCTCCTTTGCTAAAACCTGAATCATTGCAATCGCTACATAATCAATTAGAATGACAGACATGAATAATATTGAAATAGCCTCCTGGCTGCTAGTTAGCTAGATAATACCAAACCGAAAAGGAATTTTATATCTACTTGTCTGTTCATTATTACAGTACTTATTGTTCATCTGGAACTCTGAGCAATGAGTCCAGGTCCAATTTGGCATTCATTCAGGGTAAGGTCTGTTGCCATGGGATTCTGATCTCTAATGTTCAAATACAGATTAATTTTAATTGCTAAACATTGGTGGATAAACCTTGAAAGACTAAAATGATAGGTAACAGAACTGACTTTACCTAATTTTTTGTTTTTGTTGATTTTTTTTTAGGTAAAGTCGGGATTCTTCCATGAAAGTGATTCCAAAGCTGTGGCTAAATCCATTCGTGATCGTGTCACCCTAATCAAGAAGACACGGGAGCAAAGGCAGGTGGGCAACCTGGAGGAAAGGAGGGACTCTCAAAGTCAGCTTCCAAGTGGACTCCCCTTACTTCAGCCACAGGGCTCATCGTTCACCCCACCTTCTCAGCCAAGCAAGATGGAGTGTGAGGAAACAGAAGTTGATCAACATGCCAGACAACACATCCTTCAACAAATGCAGCAGAGCTTTTCCCTCACTGGTAATGAGCAATCCTAGACACTTAATACATACTGTTTATTACTTATTATTAAATAAATAATAAGAGTGTCATTTTGTTCAGGAAATGTCCTATCTGAGGTGTCTGAGTTTTTGGCGCCTTTTTTTGCTGCTTTATTGACAGTCCTTTAGCATATAAACGGTGGTTTCTTTCTGCAGAATTTAACCTGGGCCGAATTGTTAGCTAATATATATTGTGGGGAGCTGAAGTTAACGTTAATGAAGGGAATTATTAATATATTATGTGGAACTAAAGTTACGTTAATGAAGCCGTAATAATGAATGAATGCGTTCATATGTTAGTTTAATGCATTTACATTTTTGAAGAGCAATAGTAGCTATCCAGAGTAGCTTTTCAGCTGCTCATTGAGAAACTTCCCATTACTTTCACAAATTACTTGAAACTTTGCTGGGAGGGAGCCTGTTTTCAGAACTTCAGATTGCAGCGGTACCTTTCTTTCATCTTAAGAGATAGCCAGTTGTGATGATTGAAAATTGCTGCTTCTTTCGGTTGGTTTCTACCTTTTATTTGTCTGATGGCAAAACGTGAATGAGCCATCTTCTCAAACTTGCTAGTCCTTCATTCTGTTCAATATCACCAGCATAAAGTCATTTTAACTGCTAAGAGTCAGTTGGTCTAGTGTTGAAGGCACCAGGCTAGAAACCAGGAGACTCTGAGTTCTAGTTGTGCCTTAGGCATGAAAGCCAGCTGGGCCAGTCACTATCTCTCAGTCCAACCTATTTCACAGGGTTGTTGTGGGGGAAATAAGAGAAGGAAGAGGTATTGGGTAAATTTGCTGGTAAGTTATTTACGAAAATAATATTGATAAAAATCTATTTAAATTAAATAAAAATAAAGGAGAGCTAAGCAGAGACAACTCCCTCCCAACAGACATTTTAGAAGAAAACTATGACAATGAATCTACAGCAGTGAGCTAGTGTCAATGTCAACGCTGAATTCACTGAAAAAGCATTTGCGACTTCATCATATTCTCCACCGCAAGGGTAAAGACCAGAACAAGTTGCTCCCTGGAAGCTGTTGGATCCTGTGGATTTCGTCTGAGGAACCTTTTTCTCAAACTTGAAACCACAATAGTGCTTTGGTTACGATGTGGAATAATGAAGTTTCAGCATTTAATATGACAGCTCCTAAATTCCCCCTGTCCTGTGTCAGTGCATTGAATGCTCCATGGTCCATAGAGCAATTGCATGCGATGTATGAAATGTGAGGGCAGAAATTTGCAGGTCCCAAATGAATCCAGCTGGACAAAATGGATGCTTATTTATAGAGCCTTATGTCACAGCAATTAGGTGAATGAAAGTAGTAATTTATTTTCCGCCTGATTACATCCATGGAATCAGTAATCCAAGAGAACTCTGATGGTCCAACCACCAGTAACTGTGTCCAGTGTTCTGATACTGTCAGGCCTGCCCCAGTCTACTCTCTCAGGAAAGTAAGATTCGTGACTCCATTTGGTTGAAGCAGAGGAACTTTTACTGAAAGAAACTGTTTGCAGTAAGGTCAGGTGGAATCTGGTGTTCCCGCGCAAAATACAGAGCTATTCTTTTCCTTTCCTACTCCCTCCACCCATGACCAGTCCCCTGGTCAGCCAATGCGATGCCGGCAAGATGTTTTGAGAAACTCTGAGGTGTCAAACTGGTAACATTCCATTCTCAGGGCAAACGGCCTTGAAGATCCTGGTACAAGCTGGTTTAGTAGAGATCTGATCTTCTTCCATTGTCACCCCCCCTCCCTATTTCCCACGTTTGAAGTTACAGCAATAGCACTCTATAAACCCTCTCCCTCCCCCCTTCTTAATGGCAGGACACCAGCAAAGCACAGGCCAGTGATGGTGGACCTGACAGATACAATCTGATAGCCACTGTGAGCAGTTTGCACAGTACTTTATGAATAATACTTTTCAGATTTATGTTGGGTTTTGCTTCATTTTAGGCAGTGTCATACCTAGACTTCTTCTGTAACATTATCAATTTTGTTGCTTGATCCCTTATAAATAAGTAAATCCTCAGTTCAATTTGTACTGTTACTTGTTTGATGCCTTCCTAGCTTGGCTTCTAAGGACTTTTAAGGATTCTGCCTGTCTTGATCTTTTAGATTGTTTAAAAAAGGATGATGAAGCCACTACTTAAGAAGCTTTTATTAGACACTGCTGACTTTAACAACTATGAGCCAGTATCCAGTATTTCATATCTAGCCAACTTAATAGAGAAGGCATTAAAGCCTCTGAAGCTTTGCATATAATGGGTTATCTTCAGCTTGAGTTTAGACCTATATGTGTCATAGAGATGGCTTTGGTCACTCTCCCAATAAATATAGCACGTTTTTTGATACTGTTCTTATTTAAACAGATTAGTTGTATTAGATAGAATTATTGTTGTGGCAATTTTTAAAAGAAAGATTGGGTATTCCTCATTTTCCTTTCCTAAGAAGAAGCTTTCATTTTGTTGTATTCTTTCTGAAGTAACTATTTTATGCATATATAAAACTGCATTGCCTGACAACCCAAGTGTTTGCCTGAGTGAGGTAGAAGGAAGGGAAGTGGTTCTGATTTATTCTGAAAGAATGAACATTCTGCTTTTTCTTTCTTTTCACACTGACACAGCTGACAACTTGTCTGAGAGAGGAGCAGGGTCAGTTATACTGTCAGATGCCTCTAGCCAACATAATCTGGCATTTTCCTCGGAACACATGATGGGCACCCAACAAGTCCCCAGTCTCTCACAAACTGAAAACAGCAGTGCTCAAGGACACATATATACTTCTCAACAGCTGATGGGGCATTATCAGTCCAATGCAGGGGTAAGAGGCCTATTGCTTTCTTCATAACATAGTAATTAAATATTGTTGTATTAAGAAAGTAGCTTCACCTGTAGGAAAAGGTAGCAGAACCTGGGGATGGAGTAAAAAGAGGAATCAGCTTAGAATCTCTATGTAGCCACAAACAGACTAAATTCACCCCCCCCCCCTGAATTCTGCCAACCCTTATCTAGCGGCAAAATAATGCTAATCTTTAGTTGAGTAGATTCCTATGCATAGGCATGAGCAATAAATCAGTTTAATTGGAACTTCATGTGTGGTCCTCCTGACATTATCCCACAGAGACATGTGTGGTGTTTCAGTACAAAAAGTTTTGGTCCCAGGAAAGGAATGAAGGTGACAGCTTTGACTAGGGGGGGATTTTGCATAGATTCATCTTGTGAACCAATTACACCCTTTCCTGAACTGGAGGCCTTGTCCTGCCTCAATCACTTCCCATTTGGATTACTGAAATGCATTTTACACGGGGTTGCCCTTGAAGACCACCCAGAAGTTACAAGTGGTCCAGAATGTTATGGGATGTGCAGTGATGGGGCCCCCTAGTTTTACCCACATTATACCCTATTGTGCAAATGGCTCCCAGTTTCCTTCCAGGTGCAATTCAAGGAACTGGTTATTACCTTTAAACCCTCTTATGGCACAGGACTAGGTTATCTGCAGGATTGCTCTCCCTAAAGGCAGAACAGGGTGGGCACACTCCTAGTGCCCTCCCTTAAATGTTGCCATCTTACGGTACTTAGGAAACATGCCTTTTCCTGACAGTCCCTGCCCTATAGAACACCCTTCCCCCTGGAATTTGTTAGACTCCCCCCCCCCAATTCTTTTAACTTTCCAAACAGCATTTAAGACCTGGCTTTTCCCCTCAAGTGCTGGCATAGGATGAGACCGATGAGATGAACTTATTGTGGGCTGCATGTCAAAATGTAACTATGGTGTTAAATTGTTTTTTAAAAAAGTATTTATAATTTTAATTTTTTTTATTGTAAATAGATGTTTTTTATATATTGTCTGCCTGGACTTTGGTACAAATGGGTGGTTATATAAATGTTCTAAAGCAGCGGTTCTCAACCTATGGGTCGCGACCCCATTTGGGGTCGATCAACCATTTCACAGGGGTCGCCAAGCAAGGCTGTCCGCCATTTTTTTTGTCCGCCATTTTTTCCCCCTTTTTTGGCGGATGCCTTACCTCCCTTGGGCTGGGCCAGCTGGTGGTCGGCCTGCTCCGTCTCTGCCGCTTGCCAGCTATGCCTCGGCCGGCGCAGGGGGCGGAACCACGCATGTGCGGCGCTCCCGGGCAGGGAAAGTCCTCGACTTACGACCGGTTTGGTAGTCCTCGACTTACGACTGGTTTAGTCCTCGACTTACGACCGGTTTAGTCCTCGACTTACGACCGGTTTAGTCCTCGACTTACGACCGGTTGGGGGTCGCGGCATTAAAAAGGTTGAGAACCACTGTTCTAAAGAAAGAAAGGCCCAAGAACATATTTTGATTATTAATTCTGCATCCTAGGAAGATATCCTGTTTTCCCTAGAGAATGTATGAGAAAATGTATAAATAGGCCAGATGAGACCAGGGGATCTTGCTGAAGCACAGACAATTGTTTTGTTTTTCTAAGTGAAGCCTGTTAATTATTCTTTATACAGGTGCAGCCAGCGTTGCCAACAAATGTGGCTCACCCCAGTGTTTTACCATTAATCCAGAGTCAGCCTTCTGGTCTACCTACTCACAATTTGGCACCTCCTGCAACTCTCCAAGCCCAAACATCTCCTCTTACAGCTCAGCAATTCCCATCAAGGATGGTAAGGTTTTTCACTAATGAACTGTATTACCTAGCAGATTTTTCAAACCATCACTAAAAGCGTCCCATAAGTTCATTTTAACCATCTGAATCATAAAATGGAAGCAATCATTGAAAGAAATAGTGGAATATTGCTTCTCATTAAAAGCCAAGCTACGTAGTACAATTTAATGTGTATGTTTGGTATTTCTGATAGTATTTCTCAATAAGTAGCAGTTTGTAGTAGCAGGATGAAATTTAATTCTCCCTTTTATTTTCTCTGCGAAAACTCCAAGCTGTAGTTCCAGAATTATTCTCCTGGGTGTAAATAATGGCTAATCCCTGATGGGAAGAACAAAGAAAATGAAATTGTAATATTAGGATTCAGGAAAAAATGCTTAGGTGTGAGGTAAAATGGGTAAGTATAGGTAGTTCTCAACTTACAAGCAGCTGCAGCCATTTAAAGTTAAACAGATCACCAAAAAGCTACTTAATAGCTGGTTCTGAAGTTCCAACCCCCCCCCCAGTCACATGACCACATTTTGGGTGCTCAGAAAGAGGCCTGCATTTATAATGGTTTGCAGCATCCCATGGTTACATGGCCACGTTTTATGGCACTTTTGCCAATTGGGTTGATCACGTGGGTGACCTGCTTTACAACCATCCATTACAGTCATAAGTTGAGCTCTACCTGTATGTCCCAGCTATTTTTGTATATTATCTGATTATATTTTTTAATCCAGTTAAATTATACATCTCTGCAGTATAAAATGAGGCTTGATCCAAATGGGGGTCTAACTTCATTAGCAAATACACCTGAGTATCAATTTCATGGCACTAATGATTGCCAGTCTTTTAAGCACTCTTTTTGTGATACTTCATAGTCCTGTGTATCGGCAGGTGGCAGCTCCTAAATGACTTTGCTGGGCTCCAAAAATAAGCAGAGTGGACACTGTTTAGTACTTAGACGAGAATACCAGTAATGTAGGTTAAACTGGAAGCATGGACACCCCAAAAGTTCCCAGAAGAAAGCAGTAGCAATGAACTTCTGTGTTGGTGCCAAGAAAACTATATGGATGTGTCTAAATAAGACCATCAGGAACTAAGCTTGACTTAAAGAAGACTTTATCTTCGTAGTGCAGTCTTTATTAATATATTAATATATTAAGATTTATTGTTCCATTGTGTGTTGGCAAGATAAATTTTTAGCTATTTGCTATCTCCTGATTTTAATAATACTAAATCATTTGGAATTGTCGGCAAACATATCCTTTGTTATCCTATTGTAGCTGCCCAGAATCTTTTGGCCAAAAACAAATTTAATAAATAAACAGATAATAATGAAACATTAATCCCAATACAGATATTTAAGAAACCATATACAGTTATTTGGGAAACAGCCATCTGTTCAGAGTGTATTTATTTACATAATCTTGAATCTTGTGATTTGTATTTTCTTTCTAAGATTTAAAGATGGAAATGGCAAAGAATTATGAGAAGTGCATTAAATTCAGAGTTAGGTCTACTTTAGGGAGACTTGTTTATATTAGTCAAGTCATACTGATTTCACTTGGTGTATTCCAAGTAAAAATAATCTGGTTTTCATCCATTAAACCTTTATCAATTTATATAATCTCACATCAAGTACAAATTATGGATTATATGTAAATAAGTATGTTTTTTAAAATGAAAGTATGCTTCCAGATAGTGCAGCTGGCAGTGAAAAAGAATCTGAAAACTTAATTATTTTCTTGTCTTTCTTTTTTTCTGCGAACATTTATGTGCCTGAAAGCTTTTCCGCTCTCATTTATAAATCTAAAGACTTGTGAAAAAGGTTGTATTTCTGGATGCTACAGAGACTGCTGTCTCACTACAATGCATACTGCCAGATGGGACTAACATTCACAAATAGCAGTTTTTGCTCAGACATCTCAAATATAAAAATGTGAAAAACTTTCAGCATTTCCTTTTATTTTTTTTTAGAGCACAGTCAAGAGAAATACCAATTGTCCAGTTAAAGTAATTCTTTTAAAACATTGAATAAGTGTTGCCAAGGTGATGGAATTTTACAGCTGATATTTTTAACTTGTATAATACATTCTATATGTTGCGGCTTTTTATATACCCAGTTCTGTTTGAAATGATGTTCAGAAGATTATTTTATGACAACATTTTATCCAATGCATTATATTCTGTATGTTGCTACTTTGTATATACTAAGTTTATTGTGAAATGTTATTTAAAAGATTATTTTTATGACAACACTTTATAGGATAAAATCTTCATACAAAAATGATCACTTTATCAACATCTAAAATACATTTATTTTTTTTACCAGCCTCCAGATTCCCAAGTATCCTACAGTGCAGAAAGTCAGACTTTGGATGGATCCATCATGGGAGTTCCTCAGCAGATGTTGACAATAACTTCTCCTCAGAATATACCTGCCTCACAGGTGGGAAATCAACACATGCCAACAAGCATACAGTTAACCTCTGCTGCTAGACTTAGTAGTCAGGCTACAGCTGCTGTGGGATCAGTGGAATTAGAGGCTGCTTCTGCCAATTTGGTATCTGCCAGTCAGTCCCCTGTGCTACATGGGCAGCCTTCAATTCAATTTGTCAACAACATGCAAGTTCTTCAGTCAGTTCCACAAGGTGTTAGGCTTATTCAACAACCCAAGCAACTTTCTCAGCAGGTGCCATCAACACAGCAACTACAGCAAGTTTCTCAGCAGGTGGCATCTATGCAGTCAAGTCAGCAAATAGTTCCACAGGTGACATCTTCACAGCAGGTTCCTCAGCAAATTGCAGCCATGCAGCAGATACCTCAGAACCTAATGGCAATGCAGCAGTCACAGCAAGTTCCCCAGCAGGTAGCATCCATGAAGCCACCTCAACAAGGGGTGTCCTTGCAGCAACCACAGCAAATTCACCAGCAAGTGATGCCTATGCAGCAGTCTCAGCAAGTTCCTCAACAAGCAACATCTGTACAACAAACCCAAGCTGTTCCACATGGAGTTTCTACCCAGCAGATTCTAGAGCAGCCTCAGAAAATTTCCCAACAGGCAGCCTCCATACACCAGCCTCAGCAAGTTCCTCAGCAAATTCTCCAACAAGTGGCATCCATACAGCCACCACAGCAAGTCACATCAGTGCAGCAGCCCCAGCAGAATCCTCAACAAGTAACATCCACACAGCAGTCCCATCATATTCCTCAACAGATGCCACAAGTGACATCCATACAGCAGCCACACCACATCCCTCAGCAAGTTCAACAGCAGGTGACACCCTTACAGCAATCACAACAAAGTCCTCAACAGGCAGCATCCGTACAACAGCCTCAACAGGTTCCACAGCAGGTGACACCCATACAACAGCAGCACATTATACAGCAGGTGACACCCATACAGCAGCCACAACAAGGTCCTCCCCAGGCAGCGTCTATACAGCAGCCACAGCATATTCTTCAACAAGTTCCACAGCAGATGACACCTGTACAGCAACAACAACAAGGTCCTCAACAGGAAGCATCTATACAACAACCACAGCGCATTTTTCAGCACGTTCCACAGCAGGTGGCACCCATACAACAGCCACAACAAGGTCCTCAGCAAGCAGCACCCATACAGCAACTACAGCATATTCCTCAGCAGGTGACACCCATACAGCAGCCACAACAAGGTCCTCAAAAGGAGGCATCTATACAACAACCACAGCATATTTTCCAGCATGTTCCACAGCAGGTGGCACCCATACAGCAGCCACAACAAGCAACATCCATACAGCAACTACAGCATATTCCTCAGCAGGTTCCACAGCAAGTGACTCCTATGCAGCAACCACAACAAGGATCTCAACAGGCAGCTTCCACACAGCAGCCACAACATATTTCTCAGCTAGCTCCGCAGCAGGTGACTCCTATGCAGCAACCACAAGTATCTCAACAGGCAGCATCCACACAGCAACTACAGCATATTCCTCATCAGGTCCCTCAGCAGATGACACCCATACAGCAGCCACAGCATATTCTGCAGCAGGTGGCACCTATACAGCACCCACAACATATTCCTCAGCAGGTCTCACAGCAGGTGACACCCATACAGCAGCCACAACAAGGATCTCAACAGGCAGCATCCATACAGCAACCACACCATATTCCTCAGCAGGTGACACCCATACAACAGCAACAGCTTATTCCACAACAGGTGACACTTATGCAGCAGCCACAGCAAAGCCCTCAACAGGTGGCATCCGTACAACAACCACAGCATATTCTTCATATTCCACAGCAAGTGACATCCACACAGCAGCCACAGCAGGTTCCTCAACAGGCAGCAACCATACAGCAGTCACAGCAGATGGGAACTGTTCAGGCACAACAAGGTCCTCAGCAAGTGTCATCTGTACAGCAGCCACAGCAAGTTCCACAGCAGGTGATATCTATACAGCAGCCACAGCAAGGACTCCCACAAGTTCCACAACAGGTGGCATCCATGACTCAACCCCAGCATTCTCCTCAGCAGGTTCTGCAGCAGGGGACATCAATGCAAATGGCACCGGGGCTGCAGTCTCAGCAAGTTGCCAATCAGCAGATGGGATCCCTGCAGATTCCACAGCAGGTAGCCTCCATGCAGCAAGTTACACAGCATGGGGCATCCTCGCAGCAACCTCAGCTGGTTCCCCAACAGGTGGCATGTGGGCAGCCAGCTTCACAATCTCAACCTACGGTGCCCGTTCATCAGGTCTCCACTGTATCACAACAAATGACACTTATGCAGCAGGTCTCACAGTGCCCAGAAATATCCCTAGATACTTTGGGGCCTCAGCAAGAGCAGCAGATTACTCAGATACACCATTCTACAAATCAGCATCCTTGTGTAATGCAACATGTGTTATTTCATGTGCCTCCGCAACAGCAGAAAGAAGAGCTGTTTGTTCTCCATTCGAATTCCAAAGATCAGTTGCCAGCTGTCACTCAGCAAGACGTGGAAACGCATCAGCAATCTGAATTCTCAGGTTCAACTTCAGAAAAGGTGGCTTATCCCATCCAGACCCAGTATCAGTTGCAAATCCAGGAACAAATGATATATCCAGCACAATCTCCACACAAGCCACCAGTTTCAGAGCAGCTGAAACACCAGCTAGAGCCAACTAACCAGCTGCAGGGTCCAGAGCAAGCAGCATGTCAGATGCATGTCACCTACGCAGCACAGGGCTCAAATCAGGCGCCTTGCCCAGAGCCATTGGTTTATGCAGCTTCTGGAGGATATTCAGGACATTCTTTGGACCAGTCAGCGTATGTTTATCAAGGGCAGACAGCATATATAACTCAACCAACATATACTGCTCAACCTCCAGAGATCCAGCAAGCTCATTTAGCAATACAGAATACTGATCAACCAAGTTTTGCTGTGCCTGATCAGTCTTTACACCTGTCGAAGGATGGAGATGCTGGCCACGTGGAATTGCAGATTTGTTCAACACAATCCACAAAAACCCACGACTATCCTTCTGAGTCACATCTGCCTGAGCCAACAATATATCTTACTCAGCAAGATTCTGGCATGGGCCACCAGCAGCTGCACCCACCACATGTGGCACATAAAATTGCAGAAGGACAACAGTCAGGGCCACAAGCACCTTTTGTCTCATCTCAGCTATCTTTCACGCCACAAATGCAGCCGCAGCCTTCTTATCAGGAGTTTAGCCAGCAACTTATTACTCAGTCGCACAAAGCCACAGTCCCACAGTCTGCCCTAGAAACATTACAGACTGTAACTTCTGTATCAGAACAGCCAGAACAAGCTTATACAATGCAACAATCTTTAGATGTGTCAGGAATGTTGAATCGTGCTCCTCTCCTCCAGCAGTCTCAGACATTTCAACCAGTTGACAATAACCAACAGTTTATTCCTCCACCAGTACAACCAACGTACATTCAACAGCAGCCAGTATGTCAGAACTCAGTTTTACCTGCAGAATTGATTGTCCAGGAGCAGATGCCTTCTAAGAATTCTATGGCAGCTTCTTTGAACCAGCAAATAGCATTTACTGCTATGAACCAACCGAACCAAGAGTATCATCAAGGAGAAGACATTTCACAGGTATGCCAGTTGTTATATATATCTATATTTATATATCTATATATCTATATCTATCTGTAGATAGATAGATAGATAGATAGATAGATGGATGGATGGATGGATGGATGGATGGATGGATGGATGGATGGATGGATGATAGATAGATAGATAGATAGATAGATAGATAGATAGATAGATAGTTATATATCCTAATATATATCCTAATTTTTCATTTTCAAATTTTATTTCATTAAGTAACAGTCATTTGCATTAAGGGAAAAAAGGATAATGGTGATATTGGAAGCAGACCTTTCTATTTGCTAATTTCTCTAATAAAATTATCTATAGGACTTTTTCTTTTTTGGAACTGGGTTCTGGATTATGAGTTTGGGATATGAATAATACGGATTTATTCAGATGTTGAACTGCAACATGTCATTTAAATCACATTTTCTTTTCTGTGAACTAGTATTGGATAAAAAAACTCTTCCAGAAAAAAAGTAAGAAACAGGAAAAAGTTCCACTTGGCTCTCTTTTTGCTAACTGTTTCACTAATTAGGTTTGAACGTTTCTAATCTGTTTCACAAACATTATTTGTGAAGTTTTAAGATAAATGGGCAGGCATGGTTTTCTTGAGAGTTACATCATGGTCTCCTAAATTAAAAAGATTAAAAAATGGTATAATCCAACAGCTTGTATAGGGGGGGGAGTGAGCATTCCCATGCCTTTTTTTTGACTCTGTGCCCCTGCCAACATGTTACTTGATTGCATTTGGTCCTATTTGCTGCACCATCCTAGTTCTCAATTTCTTATCTCAGTATATGATTTGTCTTCCTTATAATCCTCTCCCACATAATATAGTTCCAGTTGCTTTTGTGTGTGGCCCCCTCCCCTACTTCATGGTTATTTTCTCTGGTACATGACTTCTAATACTTATCCTTACTTCAGAGTTTTCTTTCCTTCTTCTTGCTGACTCTGTCCCTTTTCTTTTTAGCTGTCTGGGCATTTTGCCCTGTAACTTAAATTGTACACAAGTATCACATCTCAGTTATCCTGTCTTCTTAATGATATGGTTCACCATCTTCTTGGGTCCAGCTTAAAGTTTTAATTTCACAAAAATTGCTATCTCATTCCTTAAATTCCTTAAAGAAGACTGGCTTGAGTCTTGAATCCCATGCAGCCTTTTAATTCTCTTAGCACTTAGATTATTAATGAGCATTAAAAAATAACACACATATATAAGGGGTTTCATTGTATTATAAATCACTGGCTGTAGCAATCTTTTGGATTATGTTTCTGTGTACCTTTTGTACTGTTGCTTTACATATTTGTTTTTGTGTTGGAATATTTTGGCTAGAAGAATTATCTTTAGTCTAATGTTTATGTATCTGAAGGCTAAAATTACATAAAAAGTCCTGCATACTTAGAGAGCAGTTCCTATCTAATTTTTGAGTAGAAAAACAGCTCTAAGTCAGGGCAGCAGTATTATTTGTACTTGGATGAAGTACAGTAAAATCTGAGAAAGTTACAAACAATTCTTTCCTTATTAGTGATTTGTAGCCTCTTGTAGTATCATTTAACCATCAGTGTGCCAATATAAAAGTAATGAAGAGGTGATTTATCTTGTCACAAAGATGATGATTTATAGGAGGCTATAAAATAATAATAAGAAAATTGCTACAATATCACACTTCAAGTAGCTAAGAGGAAAAAAGCAAGCACAATACTTTGTTAAAACTTCCAAGGTGAAATATTGTTCTGGTTTATCTTTGATACCTTAGCTAGTAAAGCATAAGCATGTGCTATATCAAACTCATAAACCATTTGCATGTTCTACAGTTAGTTATTTTCTAAAAGTTTTACTCTATTCAGGGGAAATGAGCAAATGCTACACATCGGTTTACCCCCTCTCTCCTCACAGGTTTTCATCTCAGTATCAGATGAACATGAGCATCAGTCAGCAGTTCAAAAACAAGAGTCTATTCAAGGGTGAGTTTGCTCTAAAATTAATTCACTTGGTTGTCACAGCAGTAAAGAGGGTTGGATTTCAACTCACATTATCCAAGAGTCAGTATAGTAAAACTGGAGACTCTTAAGTGGGGGAAAAGTAGCTTAGAATATTATGTCCAAACTTGGTGAACAACTACATTCTTTATTCATAAGTGAAGAACTGAGAAGACTATCAGTGTGTCCAGAAACCGAAGATGACTTGAGAAGGAGTAGTAGCAGTGACAGTTCTCAAAGAATGTGAGAAGAAAGATGAAGTGTTTAGGTGGTTCTTTTAATCAAATAAAATGTTAAAATTGGCGAAACCACACCCAGCCCATTGCCGGCAATGGAAAAAAAGTCGTGATACGTCGTGACACGTCACATGACATTGCGAGTTTGACACCCCTGGTTTAGATTAAGTATTTTTAGAGTGTGTCTTTAACAATTCATTAAACACTATCTATTTTAAGTTATTAAAAAAGTCTTTTTGCTGCATTATTCAGTTTTAATACTTGGCCACTTCTCTGACTCCCTATGGTAAAATTACCTACTGTATAGTAAGCCCACACTGTTTTTCTACATACTATTTCAGCAGAACATAAGGGCAATGGGCAAAACTAATGCCTTCCCTGTCCTACATAGCTATGTGCTATCTACCCTCATGTCCATTTTCTTTTGTTAGAGCACAGCACAAATATAATAAGCTGCCACTGAAGAAAGTTCTAATTCTCCTGTTTCCTAGGTTGGAATGTAGTGGGAGAATGGGAGGATGTGTGGATATACCCAAAGTTGCTTTGAACTTGAGTGAAATTTTATGGCTGTTGTTTTGGCCTTGCCATCACTCACATAGCCCTCACTACCTCTATCATCCCCAAATTAAGAACTTATGAAGTAATTATTGCAATGAGGACTTTGTGACCCACAGTAACATAGATTAAAGACAATATGCTTTAATCCAGTTTTAACTTAAATTGCATATTCTTTAAACTTGTACGTGCAAAATATCCCTAAAACAATGATTAGATTAGTCTGAGAGCAATTATACTTTTCTGCAAAATCAGATCAGTGCCTCTAACAGATCCACTTTGCTGGATTCAGCTTCTTTTGCACTGGATTCCCTGTGTGAAAGTGTGCTCAGAAAACTGCCACCGTCGAAGGTCAAAATCTTTCAATTATCCGCTAAGCAAAATCATTTCCTTTCCCACTCTGCCAGGGAAAGAGCTTTGGATTGGAAATTTTCCACAGGTAGAAGTTGCCTTTCCATGCATGAACAGAATTTCCTAGGTCCTGCTGAGTTTAGGATGTTTTATAATACAAATAAAGAACCAATCTGGCAGTTTTCCAAACATAATAATTTATACTGTTTCTTTGTCAAAAGCATTTTAGTTCAGTAGATATATGTGTTCAGTATGAGCTGTAATGGACATTTTTTTTTATCATTTTTAAGTTACTGAACAAGTAGTGCCTGCTGTAGTCTATATTTTATCTTTCCTATGTTTATTGGTTTGGCTCTGATTTAAGCCATATTAAGCCATAACATTGGAAATTAAGTTTTATACTTATTAATGTTTAGAAAGTTTAGGAGATAAGGATATGCCTGTCTCCTTAAATCTTTGTTTCCTTTCTTTCCTTTTTGTTTAGCTTAGTTCCCGACCTTCCAAAGGAAGCTGGGACTGGCTGGGACCTTCCAGGTGGGAATGGTAAGCAAGACAAGAGCAAACAGAGAAGGACCTCCTGTGCCCGACCAGAGAAGGGAACCAAATTTCAACTCACTGTGCTGCAGGTTTGCATATTTTCAAACTTCAGGCTTTTAAATGGATATAAAAACATAATTGCTGGCCAAGTTTCCTGCCTCCTCTGACCTTATTTTTTATTTTTTAACAAAGAAATTACCAAAGCATGCTGTGATCAGCAAGTAGCATCAGCAAGTAGCATCATTTTTCTTGAGAAAGAAATACCACTGGGCGTCACATAGCACTTACAGGAATACTTAATAAATAAAAACAGTGAGCAACTGCACCCCAGTGCCTTGCTTGGAATGTGCTTAGAATAAAAGCCCAAGGTAACTTTGAGAAGTAGAAGACAAACTTATCTAATAAGTAACTGTTTTATGACTGGCCATTCTGTAGTGGGTCCCAATTTATATGTAGGCAACATCCTCCTTTAATCACCATTTTCTGACAGTGCTCATGATACCCTTTCAAAATTACAAATAATTCACTAGCTCCAAAATGCTGCCTGATCCTGGAGAACAGGATGTAGAAGAGGAACAGGGTTACATAAGAGCATATCTTCAAATCTTGTGACAACACCAACTTTAGAGATTGTTTACTGAGCTTAAGCACTAATGTTTTTACAATTCTGGTTGTTGCTTGCAGTTAAATCAGTGATTTCATGTTGCCGTGCATTCAGTAAAGTGGGTTCCACATATGGACTGTATGAAACAGTGACCAATTTTAAATGACTCACAATTGGCTGAATTTGTACATTAAATTAAGGCAGAAGTCATGTTTTGTAAACCCTAGTGCTTGGGTTCACTCATAGCTAAGCAAAAACAAGACAAATCACCTTAGGTTTTATTGTAGGTAGTGAATTATTTTCTCTTTCTATCAAGAACCAGTACTTTGGCGCAATCACTTCTAATTCACAGGCAATATTTCAGAAATGTGTGAACATTACGGGCTATGGAAAGAGCAGAACCAGCTAGTTTCCCTCTACTGACACACTTGTTTCATTTCAGTAAAAGATAAAGCAATCTCCTATGAATCCTAATTCTTTCCTGGAGGTTGAATTTGCCACCTACCGATGATAAGTGCCAGAGAATTCTAATGATATAATACAATTGAAATGCATTTATGTATTTCAGTTCTACTATATTCACGTTCAATGTATGTATTTCAACGTACATCGAAACAAAAATTATTAACAAGGTTGAGCCTTGCCGTAGTAAAGGGAATTAATCGTGCTTTGTTGTTGAACTGGTCATGTGATTTTACGGAACTGGTGGGCAAAGTATACGGTTATCTTAGGTGTTTGTAAAGAAAAGATGTAACAGTAATAGTAAGTAAAGTTGGAAGGGACCTTGGAGGTCATCTAGTCCAACCCCCTGCTCAGGCAGGAAACCCTATACCATTTCGGACAAATGGCTGTCCAGTCTCTTCTTAAAAACCTCCAGTGTTGGAGCATTCACCGCTTCTGGAGGCAGGTTGTTCCACTGGTTAATTTTTCTAACTGTCAGGAAGTTTCTCCTTAGTTCTAAGTTGCTTCTCTCCTTGCTTAGTTTCCATCCATTGCTTCTTGTCCTGCTTTTGTCTATTAGCACAATGTCTTTTTTGTTGTTCAATCAGGTGTCAACATCTGGAGACAATACTGTTGAGTGCCAACTTGAAACGCATAACAACAAGATGGTTACATTTAAATTTGATGTTGATGGAGATGCTCCAGAGGACATAGCTGATTACATGGCAAGTTACATATGCCCTGCTTCAAAGTAGATAATTCCTTACTAGTGGCATTCAAACTTTTAAAAAATATTTAGATGGTATATAGTTCAAATGCAAGTACCCTGCTTCTTCATAATATTTCTCAAATTATATAGAGTCTCCTAAGGCCAAATCTTAGTTTTGCAGCTCATATGCCTACAGTTTATTTATTTGAGAATTAATTTTGATACTGGTTTTGGGGAAGAGTATAAAAATGGAGAGGATTGGGGTCTGTTAGAGAAATGTCTTGAGAATAAAGGATAGAAATATATGGCTGCACTTTACTTTGGGAAACATCAGATTTGGAATCTCTGAAAGTTGTTAGCTTCCTTTAGACTAGTAATATAATTCATATTTTAGTGCTAAATATTTTTTTATTTGTTAAATGTATTCATTGCCCAGCCTGTCATGGGGCTATTTTGGTAAAAAATGGGAAAAATAATTTTAAAAAATCAAACATAATAATTAATGAAATAATAAAATAAACAAGGAAACTGCAATAAAATGAATTTTAAAAAAAGATGTGTGGAAGCACAGGGGGGAGGGGAGGTCAGTTAATTAGTCTAGTACAGTGATGGCGAACCTTTTAGAGACCGAGTACCCAAAACCTGCCCCCCGCTCTGCCTCCCGCCCTGCCTGCCCCACCCCATCCGCCCCCTGCCACGCCCACCCGCAGGGCCACCCACCGCCTCCATGGCCCGCCACAGATCATCCAGGCGGCCCTGCAGCGCCATGGCAACCACACCCTCCATCTGCACCCCACAACATCATCTGCGTGCGACGGGGCACGAGGGTGGAATCTTGTCCCTGCTGCCTGGCCTGCCATGTCCTTGGCTGCGCTGCTTCATGGAGGAGGGGGCTGTGGGGGGAGGCAGGGCTGGGGTGACAGCGCACATACCCACAGAGAGGGCTCCGAGTGCCGCCTCTGGCACGCATGCCATAGGTTCGCCACCACTGGTCTAGTAGCTACCTCCAGTTGTGATGCTGCCCATTGGGTCTCCAGGCCAACTGGCAGAGCCAGATCTTCAGGGCCTACATTTAAATTAGTGGAAGGAGATTTCGAAAGCATATACATGCATCATGTACGTTATTTATTTATTTATTTAGAAGCTACTTCATCACATGGGACATACTTTCAGGTGACCATTCATAGAATTATATATAGAATTATAGGGGTATTGCTTCTAAATAAGTATGTACTCTCATTGATCGATTATTGAAGTCATTGAAATATTGAGATCGCTTAGGGTATATTCACAAAATTGACAGCATGGTGTCCAAGGCTAATCACAAACCATGCATTCACCAGGAGACAAATAGATATTGCTGCTTACCATAATTCTACTCCCCCAGATGGTTCCCAGAGGCATTTGTATAAATTAAAAAATTATGTCAGAGATTAGAGATTTAGTATTTTGCTTTGTAAGAGAAAAGTAAAAAAAATCAGGTGGATATGATGGCTATTAGTATTTCAAAAAGCTGCAGTTTTTCCACTAGTACAAAATGCAATAGAAGAACTGTACACTGGCATCATGTGAGAAGAGATGGCATTTCATAAAGGAACAAACATTAGCATTACTGAGAAATAAAACTTCAGTACATTTTTAAAAAAATACTTTTTCAAGATTAATATTCTAATCAGTGTTTTGTAATAACTGTGAATATTTGGAATGTGAATATTTATGGGTGAGATCTAATTTTCTACAGCCTGTTGGAATGGTGATAGCCAGAATTTGAAGAACAAAATAAGGTTTGTATCCATATCTTCTATCCTGTTTCTCCCACCCCTCTTCCCTTTCCCACTTACTAGGTTGAAGATAATTTTGTATTGGAAAATGAGAAGGATAAATTTGTTGATGAACTGAGAGCTATTGTTTGCCAGGCTCAAGACATCATTTCTAGCCTTCCTATTGAAGAACGAGCCGCTGGCATGGAATCTGCTCCTTCTGATCCAAATAACGGCCAAGTAAGTTTAGCTTCTTTAGTAATGCCAGTTTTCTGGAAAGATGTGTACTTATATTGGGAAACTCCCTTTTTATATTTATCTATTCATTTTTAATTCAGGCAGGACCTTCTGAACAAGTTCAGATAAACCCAGCATCTACTCAAAGTGGCAGTAAGTAACTATTTTAAAACATTTAACCCTGCAGGACCAAAGCAACACTCTGACGTCCACAAGATTAAAACCATCCTTATATTAAAATGAACCTATGGAACATAGTAGATTTTTGGCAAAGTTCTATTCTCAGCTCTTTCTACTTTTGTCCTTTCAGTCCCCTTATGATAGTTTACTTTTGACTCTCTGGACTGCTGCAGAGAGTCAATAGTTGTTGTCTCTCTTCAGCAGTCCTGTTGATTTTACTGGAATATTCTAAACATTTTAATGACATTATCATAGGTTGAAGACTGGTAAATAATGAGCTCCTAATGAGCGTTGCTATATTAGCATTATTTCTAGAGTTGGCTTGGTGGACCTTCAAGAACACATAGGTTGTATTCACTATCAACTCTGTAAGATTATATCTCCCACCCCCTCCCACCCAAAATTGTTTAAAGTGCCCTTGTTAAGGAGACATTTACAATAAGTTGAATTGATTCTGAATGATGACATTGGGAAAAATTAGTGGCCCAGTAAACCAAATTCTTTATATTCACTGACAGTTTCTCAAAGATCGTATAGCTAGCTAGCATGCTGATCTAGTAGGAATAAACAGCACTTT